AACAAATCAAATTAAAATAGTAGAACCGAGTTAATTACGCCATTGCCTATCCCCGCTCCTCACCACCTCTTTCCGTCAAGAACCCCTTCCCTAATCCAATCTCCGCCTTTCCCCAATCGCCTCCATCGCAATCCTTCAATGACGTACACTTCCCTGCACGCCTGCGCAAGACCCTCTTTCCCGCAGGAGCACTCTGGCCCACTCTAGGGCGACCAAGAAATCCACAAGACATCACGAGCCACATGCACAACTTGTTAAGCTTATTGCCAAGCTCGCTGCTAAAATGCCGCGAAGGCGCGAAGGGGGCCTTTAGCCACAAAGGGTCTTCTTGGCGGAGGTTGGAACCGGCTGCTGCCGATTATTACCGCTAGCTGTGGCGGTGGGTGCTGTGTATGCGTGTGAGGGTGTGCAAGAGAATGCATGGTGCCGTGCGTGGCAGTGGGCGCGTGATGTTGTTGATCTGGAGGGAGGAATGAGAATGCCTTTTTGGCGCATGGCCTGTGGTATTCCCATCGTCCGCTGTCATCACGCATCTGGAAGGTTGTGGGGGGCAGTAAGAACAGGGATGCATAGGCTTGCGCTCCTTTGCGGTCTAGGCGGAACAGACCCTGCGATGGGTTTTCTACCGAACGACGCTCTCGATGGAGTTTTTTGCTCAACGACGTCATCTCCCTTCTCCGCTTTCGCTAACGCGGAGAATGTCCTCTTGTAGATTGAGACGGTCCGTACCGGGTATATTGACGGTGGTATATTGGGCCGTTGCATTATCCCGTACTTCTTCGTTAAGCGCCGATACGATGAGCAGGACGTGTCTTGGGTACTTGGCGGATGAGGTTTCGCATGGTTTCAGCTGCCTGAGCAGTTGCATGGGAGTCTGAATGGACTCCGATGTTGAGGATAGGAACGCGCGTAGTTTGCTGAGTGAGATTGGGACGCGTATGACCTGGCCTTGTTCATGGCATCTTCGTACAATAATTGTACAACATGGGCAAACACCTAGCTTCAAAGATGGGCTCGGAAGGGTAAATGGCGACTAATGGATGAACAGGCAGCTATCAAGAAGAGAGAAACATCATTTCAGACACACGAGGAAGTAAATATTGAGAGAATAGGTGTATATTCTCCTAAGCTTAGTTACATGCATTCTTCTCTCCGCAGTGTCTCATACGTCCAACACTCATCTCTTTCTCTTTTTCCCATTTCCTCATGATGCCTTCATCCCTCGATCCATCAGCCTCTCAATGCCAATACTTGGACCCGCCGTAGAAGGTCCTACCATATATTTGGCCCCGCGGATTTATGCGGGGTAGTCGTCTCTGCTGCGGGTTACTGGTGTAATATCTGCGATCTCCGCCTTCTGGCATTATGGGAGGAAGTCTGAAGGCATTCCTTCGTAGTTCAAATAGTCTGTCGCTTCGATAATGTACTTCGTATGGACTGGGCATCTTCGGTTGCGAGATGTATGTGTTGAAGCTTGATGACTGTTTGGTGGTAGTTATCTGTAGGTGTTGTTTAGGGATGGGGTATGGGGCAGAAGGCTTTGGTAGATCAAGGGACCTGTATGATTGCTTAGTGGCTTGCTTTGGGTATCGTGGACTATGGACTGTGAACTGTGGTATGAGAGAGGTAAGAGAAACATCGCCGCGACGTTTTATACGCCTGGCTTCTTCAATACCGCAGCATGGAAGAGGACAGTGATGACTGCTCGCGGGAGGTACGTCGCAGCTACGTGTACGTTAACAGCTTTACATGTCTCTTATTGAAATCACCGAGGGCCGCTTTGTTGGCAACTTTGGTTTGAACAGGCAGCTCTTAGAATAGATACAACGCGATATTTTGGTGAGACAGGATCAGTAGATTCGAAGCACGTAAAGGTAGACATTTAGATAATGCAGGTGTGTATAAACTCATTCAAGCTAAGTTACATACATTCTCCTCCTCGGTTCACCACACGTCCAGAACTCATTCCTTTCTCTTCTTCCTGCCTCCTCACAGTTCATCACTCCATCACCTCCAACCATATCTCCAAGTGCCGTTCATGATGCTCCTCTCATCTCTCGCCCATATCTGGCCCCGCGTGTTCATACGGGGTAGTCGTCTCGGTCTCGACCCGTTAAAGTCTCCTATATCCCCTCGGAATCCCGGCATCATGGGAGGAAGTCTGAGACCCTGCCTTGGCATTTCACTCAGGTTGTGGCGGGGATAAGCAGCTCGGCCTTCATAAGGGTTGATGGGCATTTTTTGGTCGCTGGAAGGCTACCTGGGAAGGTAGACGTACTGTGGCTGAATGTGAGTTTGGTGTCGCTATGTGTGGTTGCCTTCTGGGTTTGAGTAATGAGGCTTTGGTCGATGGAGTAAGTTGTATGCTGACTTGGTTGCTTGCTTTATGTAGTATGGATTGCGATATGGAGAAAGTAAGAGAAGCATCGCAGCCGCGATATATATGCCTGTCCTCATTCAATATTGCAGCGCACAAGAGAATCACAACCACTGCTGGCGAAAGGTGTGTTGTAAACATGTAGCAATGTGTATGCTCGTAGCTCTCCACGTGCTCGGGTCAGGTTATTAAGGGCTGCTTCAAACAGTACTTGACACGGCGCCTTGTGTTCGTACGGACACGTCGGGATATTCAATGAAGCTGTATACGATGCTTGAGTATTCGAAGCACGTTTGCTCATTATCCAACGTGTCTCCCCTGCTTGAATATTCCTACTAGCAGAGTGAACAAAGAAGACGTTATAGCAACCTCACAGGACTAAGATGACGTGTTGAGGATGACTGTAGGTATTGAGTGTCGGAATGCTTCTGGAGGTCCCGGAGAGAAGCTAAGTAAAGAACGACCTCCACATAGATAGAATCTCATAGTAGCAACGAGTTTTGAGAGCGCGAGAAGCATTGATTAATGTAGTTTGATATCATTTGCATAACAAAGCATTCTTCTTTCTTTCCACTGTCCAAGTAAGACCTACACATATGTAGACCTCATCACATCTCCTTTCCTTTCAAACCCTCGATTTCTCATCTACCTCGGAGGTCCAGGCCCCAACCACCTCCCCGTCGCGCTCCAACCATAGCCCTGTCCGCCTCCTCCGGGATAGCCTCTTGGCCCATACGATGATGAGCCCGGGGGGAATAAGCCAGGAAACTGCGATCGCGGACCAGGCAGAGGTCCCCGAGGAAAGTCTTGCTGTCCGCTGTAACGAAACCGTTGATCTTGTTGGAATCGCTTGAAGTACTCCATTTCCCCTATCAGGTCTTCGTAGGAGTCTCGTGGCATTTCCGCGGGATTTGCTGGAGAGTAGGGCTTGAGGGTACTGTGTTGTATTGATTGATTGCAGGTAGCTTGTTTATGCTGATAGTAGGCTTTTGCTTTGGATGTTGGGGTAAAGAGAGTAAGAAGGAGGTTTTGCGAAAGGTAGTATATGCCGCATTGTGAGTGAAGAGCGTTGGACGCGGAAAGAATGTATTGTAGGCGGTTGTGCAGTGAACGCAGTCGTTGTTACTCGTGAAGATGTGTAGAGATAGAGAGGACGCGAAAAAAAGCCTTGTTACAGTGTCTATAACGATAAATATCAGCCTTCTGAGGCTAGACATACCAGTCATGTATGCCAAAGTGTGCCCCCATCTTATGCACGGAAAAAATTGAACAGATCTGCAAACTTGATCAACATAAGAACATGCAAGGTAGGTAGTTTTACATTGATGTAGGCTCTAGAATCTTTAGTGTTTTCCTAAGTTAACGTGTCCTTTCCCTTCCAAGGTTCATACTCTCAATCAAGTAACGCGACACAACATCACCTCAGCTATGCACCGCCTTGCACTTCTTTGCCTTGCAATCCCTTTTATCCATCATATGTCTCTTTTTGTTTTTAATTTCACAAACCCAGTACCCATCGTCTTGAAAGTGGCGTCTCATGTGCTTCCACCATTCATCATCGTCCATAGCTCCAGCCCATACACCCTCGTACTCCCAACAAATCAGACAGCTACGCCTTTCAGCTCCATAGTTTACGCTAGCCGGGAGGTGTGATTCGAGTACAAAGGAACGTGAAAGACCTTGAGATGTCGGCCAATCTTGATAGTATGATTGGGGGTGGGACAACTTGACTGAGATACCACAGTGGGAGCATTTGTGCTGATCTTCGTAAGGCGAGTAGAGTGGCTTGGTTTCAGCATGACGTATAGCGAAAGCTCCGGGACAGAAACCAGGGTTCATACCGAGAAGATGCTTGATGCACATTGACCAGGTCCGTTTCTTCTGGCGACAAGGCAGCTTCGGTAGTATGCGAGCGCATATTGCGGGTGCATGTATTTTTCGACTCTGTGTTTTTCCGGAACCAGCGTGTAGGATCTCAGTCTGGCCTTCTCGCAGTTCAATCGTCTTGTCAAGGGTACCGTGCGGTTCTAGGCCATTTCGCCGTTCAATTTCGAAACCACGCGCGTCTTCGTTATTCTCGATGTATGCATTTGATACACGCACTCCAACATCCGGACGCTCGCCTTGCAAAAGCTCATCCTCTTCTTCGGGACCTTCGCCATCAAGTCCGTCCTGAAATCCAGAGTCTTCTTGAGCGTATACTTCATCATGGTCATTTGGTCCAACGCCTTCGTGTGCGAGCCAATATGCTACGCGAATGGCACTTCCTCTGTGTTCTGCTGGGGTACTGGGATATCTGGATCTGGGAGTAGGGGTGGTATAGTGGGATGAATGACCGCGAGTTGATGAGTAGGGCGGTGGAGGACTCTGGGCATCGTCCATAGCGACGGCTCGGCTAGATCTTCTCGATCCTTGAAGTTGCATTCCTGGGCTTTGGTAGATGCGAAGCCGAGGGAAGGCGAATATCTTATGGAGGATACCAGTCGTTTAATGGCGGGGTCAGTGATGTAATGTGCGCGAAACCCGTATGGGCCATGTCGCTTGAAGCGAATATGTCTACCATGGTACATCCGATCGATGTATCTTATCTTTCCAGCACAGTCCCTCCCAATCTTTTCTTATCTTAATCCACACGTCTTATCCCCACAACTCTATTCAACCTAGCCTCCACCCCTTCAAGCACCCCTCTCAAATCTTCAACATCTCTCCCAATGTCTGACACCATACTAAACACCTGGCCCACCTCATGCGCCGTCCGCCTACCCTCCACTCTACTCAACACCGTACTAAGGTTAATCACATCAGCCTTCCTCCGCACCCACAACCAACGATGTTGAAGATCGCAGTTTGCGTATTCCAGACCCAGACGGTTACTATTGCGCATGTGCCTAGCTGAAGGAGAATCATCGTCATCGGAGTGCGGGTAGTATTGCGCTGCGTATGGTGACTTTTCAGATGGAAGAGATGTAGATTGAGTAGACCATTGCGCCGAGTCCTGGGACTGGTGTTCTGGTTTCAGAAAGGGATACTCGAGATCTCGGAACTTTTGGATGAGGTCGCGGATGGTGACGCGCATTACGCTTAATGCTGCTTCTTCGCCGCTTGAGCGCATGCTCTGCATATCGCGGTCGAAGTGCATGGTCCTTCTTTTGCCGCTCCCCCTCCCTCGTCTGCTTCGTTTTCGACTCTCGTTCCCGTTCTTGCCACTGCCGTATCCGCCGTAATACTCTTCGGAATCACTTCTTGCGCTGGGACCGTGGCTTTGGTCTCTCCGTACGTTCCTCAGTCTCTTTCTCACTCTTCTCAAATGCCTTCTTTCTTCCAACAGTCCTTGCTTCAGGCTTGACAGCATATTTTTGATCTCTTGTGGTGCGGCATTAAAGGTTGCTAGATTCGACCAGGTGACCTTGAGTAGGGTGGCGAGCGTAAAGGTGAAGGAGATGAAGCCGATGATGGTCGATATCATGGACAGTGGGGAGAAGGCTGTGTGGGATATTGTCACACCCATCTCGCAGTCTATGTCGCCTGAGGGATCAGTGCTAGTAGTGCTGAGTAAGCCTGCTTCGTGGAAGGTGGAGGTCGTGGTACAGCTGCAAGTCGTCGATGAATTGGACCAATGGGCGCCTACGCAACAAGAGATGTTTGTTTGGGTTCTGGTTGCACGGAAATGTCGGCAGCAGGCGTTGTCTACGTTTGCAAGACATCCTCCGTCTGGAATTGTTTCCAAACGTCACGATTTGATCAGGGCAGGTCCCCACGGTTGCTGGCGCCGACCCAATCACCTGTAAGCGGAAATAGACTGACTGATGCTATGGTCAGCCAAGCTGACGCATTCAAGTACGATGGAAATGACTTTCTTCCTTTTGTATCGAGCGTGTTTGTGAGACCGACAGATTTGACCACAGTGCCGTTTGCTGTCTTTGCAGTATCATTTGAAAGCAGTGTTGGGCCAGGGTGACAAGCGAAAACCGCGTCTTTGCATGTCTACATTCGCTCTTGCGAATTTATTCCATGGCACATACTACCAGGTATCGTACACTTTTATATATACACACGTCTAGAACTTGTAGACCTGGTCCTTGCTGTACCCAAGCTCCTTCAGCATTCCGTCAAGCTCGCCCTGGTCGGACGGGCTCTTCTTGCCTCCGCTGATAGCCTTGTACATGCCTGGTGGTCCACACACGAACAGCTTGATCTTTTCGCCTTCCTTGGGCTCAGGCAGGACAGTCTTCAAGAGTTCCTTGGTAACGTGTCCCTTGCCGCCTTGCCATGACTCAGGTGGGTTGTCCAGAACGTAGAAAGCGCGGAAGCGCTGGGGGTATGTGTTCTCCAACTCCTCCCACTCGCGCTTCAACAGAATGTCCTCCTCTGAAACGTTGCCGTAGATGAGCGTAACCTTGGTCTTGTCCTCGGGGTTGCGGAAGATGTGTCGTGCGGTTTGCCACATGGGTGTGATACCTGTACCACCAGCGATCAGGGCAATGTGCTCGTGCATGTTGGGCTGTGAAAAAGACATCAATGTTAGTGCTTATTTCACAATTGGGACACCGAGGGGGCTCGTACCTTCCATTGGAACTTGGGGATAGGTCCCTTGATGTCTAGCCGTTGGCCTGGCTCCATGTTGTGCATGTGCTGAGACATGGGGCCGTTGGGGTAGGCCTTGATGATGAAGTCGACGGAGCCCTTCTGGTCCACGTCGCTGATCGGGGTGTATGGTCGGATAACTGGCTTCTGCATCTCGGGGCCCTTGTACTTGGTAATAACGGCCGCTATGTTCAGTCAGCATGTGCGGTGATCGAGACATTCTGCGAATAGACATACATGCGACAGGCAGTCCGCTCTCCATGTCCTCCTCCGGCAGCTTGAAGCGCAGCTTCTTGGTGTTGTGGTTGACAACCTCGATGTTCTCTAGCGCAAGTGAGACGAAACCCTGGTCGCCTCCAGTGAAAGCCTTCTTGACGGCGCCGGTGGAAGAGGGGATCTTGTTGGCCTCTTCTGATGGCGGCGCATTGCCCTTCTGCCCTGACGGCGCGTCGCCGCCCCTCATGAACAAGTAGGCACCGGCGAGACCGGCAGCGCCGATACCCGTGTAGAGGATGCCATTGTTGCCGCTCTTGGGCGCCTCAGATGCGTAACGGCGGACTTGCTATTTTCTGTCAACCTCCAAAACTGACATTGGCGATTTGTAATCTCAAATCAGACGGAAATGCGGGCGCATACCTGGTGCAGCGTCTTGGCTGGGCGGAATACCTGTCTGGCAAACATGGCGAGACGAATTGGTATGAGAGGAGGGGAATGAGGATAGAATTGAGGTGTTTGGAAGAACAAGCGTTATCCGGGTGCAGGTGCTAACGACGGAGCTCATCGTACGCTAGCGCCAAGCAGTAAACGTCATCGCTCTTTTGCCGGCCCGTCCGAACTCAACACTCATTCGTTTCCCAGTACATCTTCAACAGCAGTACAATAATTCATGCTATGCCCATCATGCCTCATTGAATGTCGCTGAGACTGTCTATGCAATATCATACAGCAGTATTCTGCACTCCAAACAACAGCTATGGTAGAGGACGAGAAAGACCGCTCCGCCCGGGATCCATCAGCGACAGATTGAGCATGTTTCTTCGGCACCTTGAGAAATGGACATATTGCGCAGCACTAAGCTTCAACTGAACAGTATACACACTAGCCATCTTGCGACGAGATGCTGACTGACGAGGCCTCTGGAGATCCTGTCGGCTATGCAGGAGAATAGCGATGCAAGCCCTGTGGCGAGGCATCACATCGCAGACGCCCCAACACGTAACCCGGACCTGTCGTGTCACGTTCGCGGAAGTCTCTGTCGCAATCGCCATCAACACGACATTTGTTCAGGCTGAGCGCGTTACGCTTTCAACAACGATACCAGACAAACCGGATTATACACTGTCGCATTGTGCTGTTCACAATGGGGGCAGTTGCTCACGCAGTACATCTGAACCCGCACCTTTCGACTCTGGCCGCTCTGAACATCGCCCCTCCGAAGCCTATAGAGGGCACCAACAGCGAAATATCAGATCTGCAATGGTAGAGACCGCGTGTCCTCGATGGCACAGGTGGACCCTGGCGATGAGTGAAGGGGAGAAGCTCGGTCCAGCCAGCTCACAGTGACCGTCGGACCCTACTATGTCATTTCGGCTGCCACAGATCTCTCAACTACGACCCTTTCTTCGCTGTTTTCTTTATTCACCCCCGGTACAAAAATACAGCTTTTCTCTAACGACGTGGACTTGAGCACGTTTAGGCGCCTATTCATGAACAAGTGCATTTCGCATACTTTTTGGGTCGGTAGAACTCGTTAGGCGAACCATCAACTGTTGCTCTCAGACCGCTGGTCGCAATCGAATCCCCACGAAGAACTGCGATTTACTTGCTGGCCGGAGCCAGGATTACTGCCGGTGCACACAGGTTCCAATCGCGTCGACATGGCCTCGCAGTTTCCGACACTGGCTTCAATGCGACAACCATGCAAGCACAACTATACTTATGCACCGAATCTTATCCCCGACTCAACAATTTCAGTCTGCGCAGTCTGCATCACAGAGGCTCGCATCGGTGAAGTGAAGTTCGCGACATTTGCGTTGGCTCGCCGCGGTGGTATCTTCGAATCCTCAAAAGCAGGGCCAGAGCTGCGTACGAATGGTATCGATGACCAAGGTTGGATGTCACACAAGGATTGCACAAGCCGGTGGAAGAGGGCAAAACTCGATTGTTGGAGACTTGTTGCGACCCTGGAGAATCTACGAGATGAACACTTCGACATGGCTGAGGAGTGGGGAGTCGACGAGGCACTATATCTTTGGGAACTAGCAAGAGACGAATGTTGGAAGGTGCCTGGCTGTCAATATTTGGAATACCCCGCTTCGAAAGAGGTGGAATTGACATCACAATCGCCGGCTATGGAGACTGTCTCCAAACCTACACCCCAGGAAGAGGAAGATTCTGATGGTAGTTGGGAGAAGGTCAAGCGCAGATGGAAGAGGAGGTCTCAACAGATTTCGTTCCCAGACGACGACGGACCGCTGGATGTCGATCAGGTGAACCTAAAAGAGATGGAAGCAGTCAACAATAGGCTAGCAGATGCAAGGTCGACACCCAAGAACCGCTTCGACACGATCGTCAAAAGCAGTAGAAGCGCCACCACAATAGCTGTCGCACAAGCCGTGAACAGGTCTAAATGCTTACTCAAAGGGGACACAAAACAAGTAAGGATATCTCCCTCGCTGCCCCTAGTCAATTTAGCGGCTGACTTTCTACAACAGTCCGCTTCTCCCCCTCGCAAATCAGTCAGTATCGACGCGCAAGCCACCATCCTCCCTTGCGATTACACTCCAGCTACGACAATGTCACACCACGAGCACACATTCATAGAGCGGAGCCGCAACCGCCCCACTTACAGTCGAAGCTCCCGTTTCTACACGCCCTCATGCTGGGCGAGTCCAGAAGGCTACGAGAAAGATGACACCAGTCTTTCCAAGAGCTCTTGGGCGACTGTTGACCAGCTCCAGAGGGAGTTTGCGAGTTTGGAGGTGGACTCTGAGAAGAAAAAAGAGGTGCTTACTGAAAGAGCTGAGGAAGCTGCCGCTGAGCAAGACAAGAAGGCTAACTTGAGGAAAGTAAAAGACAAGGCCTTTCGCGCACGGCGACCGCCATGGCAAGGAGAGAGGCTCTTTCATGATAGCTGGCAGGGTGCCGAGCTTCTTCACATGAGAGACTACTTTAAGAAGGCGCTCGCAGAGGATGCAAATCTGTCATCGCTGAGTCAATCGCATCGCAAGGCATTAACGCGGGGTCTGCATGACTGCGGTAGTGCTTTGATGCGCGAGGAGAAGCAGAAGGAGAAAAAATGGGTGGATGCGGAGAGTGAACGATAGGCGGTACAAGGCACTGTTGGCGGTATCTGTGAAGGAGAAGGGACAAGGATGGAAACGGCGCGCATGTATGCGACCAAACGTTGAGAATAGCTATACATCCCTCGATACGCTGTCGTGAAGTATAATTATGGGTACATGTCGCTGTCCCTTCAACAAGACAGACTACGCTGTCCCTACCTTTTGTCACACTTTCTGACCCATCAAGTGCAAGTTCAATCACCGCTTAAGGATATAAAGTCTCCGCCGCTGCATGCATTTGCATTCTCACCGATAACAATACGCAGCATACAGAAAACAACATAAGCCCAACGTATCCAAATCTACGCGAGCAAAAGTAACAGCCCTGTGCTTAACCCTCTACACATAATTTTACGGCCTCGAGTCTTACCACCGTCATACCGAGTTGACTCCTAGCACCTAAAACAAACCAACCATGCCCTCAGGTTACTATCCCTCTCGACGACGAAATCTCCCATATGGCAATACACCATATCACGAGCTTCCTAACGGCGGCCGAGATCTTGCCCCCATCAGACAGCCCGATGTTCATGGCAGCGTCGGTTTACCAGGCACTCGCAGTAGTTGGTTTAACTACGACCCGGATAATGGTATCAATCGCAACACAGACCACTGGTATGGACGTGGAGGTCAGTGGAATAGGTATAGATCGCCGTACATGGGCGGTGGTGGGTGGGGATGGGGACCTAGGTGAAAAGTGGAATGGAGAAACGTTGAACTTGGATGAGAGCTGTTAAACAGCCTATTCGAAGAAATCTAGTCGCTACTGATACACTCGTTCCGTGGCTCACTTCCTACATTGAGATACCTGTGAGACCGACATAGGGGCCCGACCCAGAGGAGAGAATGAAAAGACACCTCGGTGTTCGTCCGCAGGACTCACCACTTCGCGAACTCGACAATTTTTCCATTTTAACCAAAGAGCAAACAAGGAAGTTTCGTAGTCCAGCATTGGTGTTGCTTCACGCTGGTGTTCTCTAACACTAGCTTGGCGAGCTCTCATCACTTCGTCATTCTGTACTTCCAAGGTTGCATTGGTAAGAATGGGTTATTATTCGTATATAGTATCAAAGTCGTAAACTCAGCAATAGGCGTCATGAGAGCAGTAGAGATAGTAAGAAGGTATACACAGAAGCGAATATGCAGGATCCGTAATCTACAACATGCGATGAAACTATGCTGGGACCGAATGATACGCGCACTGAAGAGAGCGTTGGGGGTATATGGCGGAAATAGAAGAAAAGTGCCCATCCAAATAACACCCATGATCTGAAAAAGCGTCCAAGATCCGAAACGAAAAAGGTCCATGCGTTAAGTGCGTTAGGCGTTGATTATGAGGTTGCGCTGACTGGTATCTTCAGGATAGGCCCCGAAGACGAAGCGATAGAGCTCGCGCAGCCACTTGAATGACTCGCTGCGGCCCAGCCATTGCACCGATCGTCCAATCTCAAGTGCCGTCAGCCTGCGGAGTGGTTGAGTGTGAACGCTTCGTAGGGTCGGATCTGCGAGGACAAGTTTTCGGTAGCTCTCGAATAATTGGCTTTGCCACGTCTCGGCGCCGAAGCTGTTGGACGGCAAGGCACGAATAAAGTCTGGAAGTGGGATCTGGCGGTTGTAGCCTGTGTTGATGGCTGCCTTGATGATCAGCCCTTTCAGGCGGACCAGATTGGCATCCTCTCGACCAGCAGTAGCAGTAGAGGAAGTGTGTTGTGAGGCGTCAGAGTATGTTGAAAGGTTGGAGGAAGCGGATGACCAACGATCGTGAGTCCGTGTCATGCCAGCTTCTGGGCCGAGAACAAGTATATTTGGCACGTTGGGCTCGTCTGCGGGCGAGAACTCTTCGCGGTCATCAAAGATGGTTGTTGGTGTCTCTGGCTGCATTGGCGTCGCATTTCTCGATTGGATGGCTGAATGGTACGACTCATTGACACTGGAGGATCGCCCAGACCGTTCCGAATACGCAGTCTGGGAGCGATGTGTCATGGAACTGCGACCGACCGAGAAGGCATACTGAGTGGGTCGTGGAGTGCCGCGATCAGGCCGCACCTGCGTCCAGCCTTCACGGAACAAGTCACACAACTCCCAACACGCCTGGATTGCCGAGCCCAGCAGTTCCTCGTCGGCTGGCTTGCCATCCCGGCTGTTTTGGCGGAGACTGAAGAGCATTTCTGCAAGTGACCAGCATGCATGGAGCAGTGAGTCGGTTTCTTCTGGGAGTGAAGTGCGCTGCTTCATTAAGCGATGGCATAATGTCAAGTAGAAATCCAGAGTGCGTTCACGGAATGTCTCGGGTAGCGTGCGATCATGTGCGTTGTAGAGATGGTTGTTCAGCTCAAAGCTGACTCTGAGCACCGAATCAGAAGCCTCATCGCCGCGTTGACGCACGTCGAATAGTGCCTGGCAAAAGTCGCGGCAAAGCTCCAGGGTCGGCCGAATCTGCGTGGAGGGGTTCTCCTCTCTACTTTCGTAAAGCTTCTGGCAAAGCCGCCAACATGTTCTCCAGGCATGCTCCTGCATATCAGGGCTTCCACCGGAGTAGTGGAACATGCGTGTTCTGTGATGTTGGCTCAACTTGGCCAGCGAGTTGCAGAGTGTCCAGCATTCGTCCAGTGCGCTTCGCAGCGCAGCCACTTCTTTCTCTGACTCTTGGATGCCGTGGATCGCCTGACCCATCGTCTGGGTGCCGATGGACATGGACTCGCCGTCTTGCGATTGTGATGACTGGCTGTCATCTTGTTCGATGACGGAGCTCGCAGAAGAATCCGTGGTAGCATGATCGTCGTACTCTGCGATATCTGTGCATGTTAGCGCGTGGCCTTGTAAAATGCGTGCAGACGTACCAGCGAGATTGACGCTTTTCCGAACGCTGCGCCGCCTGAGGTCCTCCTCGAAATCTTGTCTTGTCTGGGCACGCGGCGTGCTGCGGTCGGTAACTGAGTTCGACACGGCGGTATCAATGGGCGTAGTGTAGGCAGAAGATGTGTGCTTGTCCTCGACATCCGGAAGCATGTTGGCTTCAGGCGTTGACGGCGATACGACAGCGGTGTTATCTGACGTGTTTGCGCTCGACGACCCGCCAGACGTCATCCGGTTCTGGTTCTGGTTCCCACGTCAGCCATGTAGTGCAACCATAACAGAAGGGCACTCACGAATTGCTTAAAGGTGTCGGGCGCATGGATGACAGACGGCGGGGCATCGTCCGAGTCAGCCCTGCGCACGGCGGTGTTGAGCTTATGGGTATGGGGCTGTCACAGGTTAGATGACTGTGGGTAGGTGCCGTGGAGGTGTTGGTATGATACCTTTGCGGGCCCGTCCTGGCTCGCCGGGCTCACTATGTCGTCAGTGCCCGGCGATCTGATATCGCTCATGCCATCTTCGCTTGCACTTGGGTGATTGACCTGGGCATCGTCTTCGATCTGTAGTGGGGTCAGCCCCGCGCGTTCGTATATCCACCCACGACGCGACGTACCTCAGTGTGGTCAGTATGGCTCGTGCCGTTGCTGTCGACGGGCGAGGGGTCGACGGTGGCCGGGTATGGGCTGGGCGGTGGTTGCAGGTGGTCGGACGTGTGCCCTGAGGATCTGGGGGAGTCCATGTTAGCGGGCAGTCGCCAATGCTCTCGCAGCGAGGGCGTCGCACCTATTTGAGAAGACGTGGGCAAAGGTGCCCGGTGAGCTGGGCGAGTCCGTGTAGGGGCTGAATGCCGACATGGACTTCAGGCCACTCGGTGACGGCATGAGCTGCGTCGCGGTTGCCATGCCTCGCGCTGCTCTTGAGGAAGGCACAACAGAGGCTGCGCCAGGACTGCGCCGGATCTACGCTGCGGTGGGAAGGGACAATCGCGGGCGGTCGCGCGATGGGCTGCCTATCACTCAGACGACGAGGTTGGCGAGGCTGAGCGGCGGGTCACGAATCAGAAGGGAAGGCGCGAAAAGGGTGGGCGGCGGGCGAGCGCTTGCGTCTAAGGAAAGAAGGACGGGACGAGGCTTATCAGAGCAGGCCAGCTGCCGGGAAGAGGCTCAAGGTGCTTGGTGCAGAGAGGTGTCGTTGTTTGTTTCAACACTGCGACTCTGCCTCGGTGGAGACTCTCAGCGCAGACAGGCGGCAGGCGGCGTCAATCGTCTACCTAGCAGCAGCAGCGAACTGCTCGCCCGCCCGTGCACTACGCCCGCTTACAACACCTGTCCGTTCACCACCACCGCTGGGCGCCGCAGACGAATCGCCGCCCTGGGTCCTGCTAAGCTTCAGGGATGCACTGCAGCTTAAGCGCCCAAACCCACGCTAGATGGCGGGCATGGTCAGCGATCCCGCGCCGTGCGTGCCAGAGACACGACACTGGATCCTCTAGAACAGCCATCGCTACCAGCCTGGCTCCCTCTTCCGTCTGCTGGTGCGAACCCCTCCGATCCATTGTCCTACCTGATGCCGTCCCGCGGAAGACAAACGGCTGCGCGGCCCTCCAAGGTGTAGGTAAGCAGCCCCTTGGCATCATCTATTCACCCAGCATTAGTTCCTCGCATGGCGAACGTTGCTGCAGACAACTAGGGCCAGGCCTCCATGACACGCTAATGCACCCTTCCTCAAAAGGCTCCATCAGGTGCTTGGAGACAGCACAAGTGTGCGGCACAGTCGCGGTGCCCTCCCACCGTTTGCTCCGTCTCCAGCCTGGCCCCATCGACATCGACGTGGCGGCCTTGCATCAAATGAAGGCCTGCGTAGTGTGACGACTTCCTGCTCGCAACGGTCCGTCGACACATGGCATCCCAAGAGCCTCTTCTTGCTAAATCTGTAGGATCGTCATCGGTATCGCTCTTCCACTAGTTCATCTCCAGATTCCCCAAGCGTATCAGCGTCCCCGGCTACCATGGGCTCGGATGCTTAGATTGGCCAATCGAATCCCCAACTTTTCGACTGGGACACGAAAGCATACAATTTTTTCTCCCATCAACCTACCACAGCTCACGCCGCGCGTATCTTCAATAATCCCATTAGTCTGGCCTACAAGCAGCTACCTGGTCCATGTCCACCTTGACAATCGCACCAGCTGCCCTTCTTCGTGCGACCTGCGCCGCTTCCGCGTTTGACATTAGCCGCGCCCAAGGCGGCTTGCTAATAAGCGCCGTGGAGCACAGGACATTCTTTCGGCCTTTGTCTAACCGACAGGTACAATCTCTTAGATGACTGACAGGAGGCTGCAGCTATGGCCTGCATAACTCATGCACACAGGTCTGCGGCCGATCGCAACGTGCCTTTCGACGCCAACTACGCAGAATGTTGAGTATATCGGCGACGTTGGAACCAACACAGTTTCATGCGCAAGGCACGCTACAATAGTCGAGGAGCAATGGCATGGCTTTGAAGAAGGTGTCTAACATACTCGGTGCCCCACTCTGCATCGATAGCTTTTGAGTATACACCCAACCGAAGTGACCCCGCTCTCACGTTATCGGCGCTTACTCTCATCGTTTCTTTGGCAAATCTCCCCACCACCAACGACATCTAGACTTATTCGGATAATGGCATTCAGATAGCCCGATGCATCCGAAGTCATGATACTGGGTGGCCTGAAAGCAATCCCTACTAGCGACTGCCACGCGATATCCCAGGATGCTGGTACGATGGCTACCCGAACAGCGGGCATTCATTCCTGGGTATCGTGCTGGAAGAGGAATTTCTATGCCAAGTCCACCAACAATGGCAATCATGCACATGTCTCAATCTTCAACTGCTCGGATAAGGGCCGCTATATTGGCATTTGAAGTGTTGTGCATTCCACCAACAGCTGGATTGCCTGGTACGAAGCAGCTCATTGTTTCCCCAATTGTACCCCAAGACTAAAGGGCGCTTTAGGTTTGCTATTGTAGATGCACAAGACACAATAGTAGGATCAGTCGAGCGCCCTTTCTTGTCCTGGGCATCGTTCGAAAAAGCAACCCTTCGTTGTGTCCGTTTCCTCAATACCAAACCAGACCGATGTTTGCACCTTAGGCCAACATGGGCGTACTCACCGCTCAAAAAGGTAACGCAAATCGCGATGAAAGAATTTAAAGCCACCATTCTACCCGTGACGCTATCCACAGCATGAAATCTCCGAGGGGCTTAGCTCTTGGAATACTCCCTCCCGTGCCGGGCGCTTCTGCAACCCATGAGGTGCTTTGCGGCGCACGTCAGCCCTAAACGAGCATGCCAACGCCTCAGAGTCAAACACACGATTTGTCACAGTCTGCCTTGGGCAAACAAAATGAATGTACAGCCCTGTGCGACTGACGCTGTGCGGCAACAAGGAGGCTCAATGTTGCACCACATCTTGGACAACATGACTGCACGCCTCTGACCATCACCAACGCGTGTACACACAACATGTCTCGCCTGATGGTGCTAGATGTCGTAATAAGCCCCGGTCAACATTCGCTTATGCGACTGCGATGCTCTCCCATACGAGTGTACGCTACATACAACGATAGGGAAAACATACCTGCCGCTACACAAATTCGCTGGGTGTACTGCCTAGCTACAACAAACGCGACAGCACATTGATAGTACTCGTGGAGTGATGATTCCTCCCACTACATGATCCAAATCAACGATCAGGTCTACTGCATGTGTGTCGAAGTTACATCCAACGACTACAAACTTTGTACAAAGAGACGTACCATCTTTCTGCCACTTTGTTTGCCAGCTGCATGGTAATGCAAACCATGTACCATCAGCAAGACCGGTCTTTTACTGATTGCGACGTCGGCAGTGTATGCTCGTCTAATGTATATGATCTGGCACAAGTCTTCTCGAGCTAGAGTCGCCTAGCCGTCTACACTCTTGATAATGGGTGAAGGGGAAGCGAGATGTCAGCCAATGAGGTGGTGTTACCAGCCGCTCGGCTCAGACACCTGTTGTCGAGATCTTGCATCTTTCACCATCCTTCAAGCCACAACTTTCGCGCAAAGTCATTAGATCTACAATCGATGCTCTCTACGCCTGGTACACATTGCTGCGATACTTGCTGATTACTTAGGGTTATGGACTGCTATCGATAACCATACTTTCCATCTCAGCCCGATGGGCCGCAGCCTGTCGATCCTCGCGCTTCTACGATGCACAATTCAATTTGATACGCAACGCATCTAGAAGGTCCGACGTGTGTGGCGCTTTCATGGCCTCATTTGGGCGCTCGTTGCGGGGCGAGCTTTCACCGGTATCGTATTCGGACGATACTTTCAGCCTCTTCAGCTGAAAGCCTCGGCAGACCAGTCACCATGTAGCCTAGAGGTATTTGCGCTCACAGCAAAAAACGTGAGCTTTCTTCCACAGTAAAACAGTCTCTCTTTCACAATCGAGTCTCTTACTAGTCGCTCTCACAATACTCGAGTCACCAAGGTGACTTCCTGCACGAGTCATGCCTCTCGTTCGGCCCCCACCCCTTCCACCTCGACCATCCTCAGAATCAGCGACCCCGCAGACTAAACAACCCCCAGCACTTGGATTGTGCAAACGATCAAACTTCACACAAGGGCATAATGACTGGCTGCAAATCAAATCGCCAAGGGCCATCCCCAACTTCGACATTTGTCCGGATTGCTACAACACATCCTTCCGCAACACTCGCTATGCATCCTGCATATCTGCCGGGCCCGCCAAACCAGCTAAGATGTCTGTTATCTGCGATTTCTCGTTTCTGTGGGTGAGACTAGCCTACATGTGGTTGTTCCAAATGGGACAACCTGATTTGAGCTTACTGGGCGAAATCAGTAGCATTGATCCTGACAGGGATGGTATCTGCCCGAACTTCAACATGGAGGATCCAGTGGTCAAGAATGGAGGAAGGCCCGAAGTAATTAGGACGTGGTACTGTCTGCAAGATCCAAAGACTGGGTCGCTGGTCGAAGAGATGACAGCCTGTTCATTCTGCGTGGCGCACATAAACGTCCTCTTTCCCTGCCTGAAGCGCATATTTGCACCCATTGCAAACGGGCAAAGGCTTCTCGCTACCTGCGATCTGATGACGCAGGGAAAAGGCCAACAGCGGTGTGTTGAGATTGTTGATCAGATGGCCGCCGTTGCGCAAAGTACTCTTGAAACGAAGACGCGAGATACCACACCACTGATCGATTTCGTCAAGAAATGGGGTCCAATTCCTGCCTGTCAACAAGGGACATTGGTCTCAGGCCAAAAACAGTACAGCTTCCCTTCTACGGTTCCCGAGTTCACCGCCTGCGAAGAATGCTACGTTAGACACATCGAACCGCTCTACTCTCAGTCACCCCAGCCAGCGATTCTCGCGCAGGTTGAGGAGCAAGAGGCAAAACCCGGAGGCTTCCTGTGTGATCTCTTTTCCCCGCGTCTCCAGTCGTACTTTACGGATGCCAGTCGTACAAACGACATCTCCACCTTCCGCCAGAAGCTCATGGCACGCAACAACAAGATGCAAGAAATTGAGATTCAGCTTAGGCGCATGAAGCAGGAAATTCAGCAGTTGAAAGCGCAGGAGAGAATGCACAGGAATCAGATGATTGTTGCGCAGTCGCAAGCCAGAATCAGAAGTACACAATGGGCTGTCAGTGGCTGGAGCGCACCGCCTGTGAGTACTGAATCGGCTGGCACATCGCCGTGAGAGGCTACACTGATGACTAACATCTATGCAGATTGATTGGGGTATAACAAACGTGGAGATGGCGAAAGCAAATGAGAAGGCGATGCAAGCGGCCATCCTCCAGGACAGCATGACGGACTTGGAAAACGAATGGATTAGATACTGGAAATGAACATGCGGTCGTGAAAAGCTTGTATCTGAAGACACCGCAAGCATCTTGTATCAGCCTGCATATTAACCACTCTCTCCATCCTCAACGCGCCTAACCGCAAACTCCCTCCTACAATTCGGACAAAGCAGACTCCCCATCATAGCCTCAACAAGACAATCCCTTCCAAATCTCTTCCCACAGCACTCAACCTGCTTGACAGCCCCGCCACAACACCCATCCTCCCCCGCACCAAAAGCACCCCAACAAAACGGACAACGGACATCGTCTCGCATCGCCGTCTTGACGTCAACGGTAGCCAGAGAATCCACATAAGCAGGGGTATACACCTCTACCGTCTCCCAGATCCGCAGTGGTTCATGCGTATTACCATGCTCCAGATACATTGCAACTAGGCCCTGGAAGCTCTTTGTGAGCCGGTACGTCTCCATGCCTTCCTTGAAAGACTGCAGCGTCATGACTGCATCGTCATCTAATCCAGTCTCCCGCGAATACCGTAGTATCGCCCGAAGTAACCCTACTTCCACCAAAGCATAAGACAGTATGACCCCATCGGCCAGCGGAGGCGGGAACTGGTCTTCTGAATAGAAACCGATGTAGGGAGCGATATAGGTAACATACGCCACGGATTTCTCGACGAGTTCCTCAGCGTAGGTAAAGAGGGTCATGTTTGTCATGGTTTCGGAGAGCCAGACTTGGGGTTTGGGTTGGTGGAGTGTGGTTTCGATGTAGGTTTGGGCGGTGCTGGCGGCGGAGATGAAGTCGGAGAGGGTGAAGGTTAGAGGGGAGGTGGGGTCTGTGTCGTCTGATGGCCATGCGCCTGGCATGGATGGGAGGGTTTCGTAGCTCATTATGTTGGTTGGATTGGGTTGCTTGGGTTGTTGTTCGTTGGGTTGAGAAGGGATGGAGATGTAGGGAAAGGCCTATATACGTGAGGTGCCAATCCGACCCCAGAGTGAAACGTGAGGCAGAAGAGCTCGATGGGTATGTGAACTTCTACGACTCGTCTTATCGACGAATAATTCGGCCGCTGAGATGATCAGATGATTCAATTGAATTCTCTACGCATTGTGCAGACATGGGAAGTCACCAGACAAGGCAAAGCCAGAAACGATCATATGTTGTAATGTTTTCATTTTATTCAAGATCGAACGCCTTCCCAAGTCCCCAAATGTCCCAATCCCAAGCGCATCAAGGCGCGGTGAATGTACAAATACAAAAACTCCCTCGAAAGACAATAGACCGAGTCCGTCTTTTCCCAATGTTCGTAAATATCATGAACCTCGTTGTCCATGGGACGCTCGAAAAGCCAGTTCTTTAATTTCAACGCCTTGCAATGCTTCCGAGACGCCTCGCTTGCTGAATGGACAAAAAAGCCATGATGAGACCCAGTTGTACGCTTGACAGATGTTCCGAGGGTAGATGTGGAGATACCTTTCCCTGTGAATGAGGGAGAGGATCGCGTCACATACCCAAACGAGATGTGATTACTTACCAACTTACCGTTGCGCGTAGAGTCGGATGAATGATACCAGCTCCATTGCGCAAGCCGGTAGTTGATGTCCGTGCTAGACACTTGTGATGCTTCTTGAGCCTAATGCTCCAACCCATATCTATCTGATACGAGCTCCTTCGTTGTCGAATGCAGAAACTTAGCGGATAGTCATCTGCTTAGTCGCACTGGGCTTCATGGAAGCAGAGCCGGCGGCGGCAACGGAAGGCTGACCGGGCTTCTTCTCGAAGATCTTCCAGAACTTGAGAGACTCGTCGGCAGCAGCGGTGGCGAGCATCTGACCATCAGGGCTGAGGCAGCTGTGAAGGACACGAGACTCGTGAGCGGGGACCTCCATGTTCTTGACACCGGAGGGGTAGCTCCAGATGCTCAGGCTGTTGTCGGGGAAGCCACCAGTGCTGACAATCTCCTTGTAGTGGGTGCTCCAGCGAAGGCTGGTGACTTGGGAGTCGGTGGGGATGTGGTTGATGCGGGCACCAGTGGTGGTGTTCCAGAAGTAGATCTGACGGTCGTTGGATCCACCGCCGGTGGCAAGCAGGTTGGATTGCCATGGGCACCATGAGACGGCCTTGACGGCAGCGCGGTGGTTGGTCTTGGTGAACTTGGGGGCAGCGAGCGCGCGCGCATCCCAGATGTTGACCATGTTGTCGTTGGCACCAGTGGCAAGCTGGGCACCATCGGCGCGCCACTCAAGACCGCAGACCTCTCCAGTGTGCGAGACGAGCTCAGCGATCTTGTGTTGAGCGACGCGGACGTCGTGGTTGTAGACAAGGCCGGAACGGGCACCGGTGGAAAGGATGTGCTTGTTCCATCCCATAACACCAACGCGGGTCTCGTGACCGAACATGCTACGGAGCTTGGTTTGCTCCTCAACGTCCCAGATCTGAACCTCACCCGTGCCGAGACCGACACCAACATAGGCACCATCGCCGGACCACTTGACGGAAGAGATGTAGGTATCGGCGGGGCACTCGAGGAGAGAGGCGACCGACCCGGAGTCAGCTGACCAGACGTAGACTGAGCGCTCAAGACCGATGGCGACCTGGTTGCCGGAGGACCAGTCGAGAAGGTTGAGGTAGTAGTCATCGACAAGACCGGGAGCATCAAGGACGCGCTCGGGAGCTGACGGGATGCGACGGCGGCTCTGTGCGTTAACGCTGCTGCTGGGCTTAAGAGGACGGTTGTACTGGGAGCGGAGGTCGATGGGCTTGGACGACTCGGGCGGCGCAGGCTTGAAAGCAAGAATGCGAGTGTTTGTGTTGATGCCACATGCTGAGGCAAGTGTGGACTGGTATGCAGCCTGGCTAGGAGCTGGCTTGGAGCGTGACCGGGTCTCCTCCTCGTCGTCCTCCAGGCTTAGGCCCTCAAGGGAAAGTGTGACATCCTCCTCTGAACCACGGCCACCGAGATCGAAAGCACTTGCGGCGTTGGCCAGCACGGTCGAGCCCTCCTTCTTGGAGCTTGACTTGGGGCGCTGTTCAGCGTCGAGCTTGCTGGCACCGACGCTGCGGATAGCCTCGCTGGCCGTCCGGTTGGGGATGAAGCGGTCGGCGGCGTTGTAGGCAATGCGCGTCTTGGTAGGGCGAGCACGGATGGCAGCCGCCTCCTTCTTCTCCTTCTTGGCCTTGGTGGCGGCAGTGGTACCGGATCCAGTGAGGGCCCATTCTGAGACACCGAGTTCTAACCGGCGAGGAGTGTGTGTGTGGGAGCGAGCAATGTTTGACTTGGGGGAGTCGCGCGTCGTCTTGGTGACAGAGCGCTGGATGCGCGACTTGAAGTCGTTGCCATGAATTGACTCGTTTGCCTGCACATCGGGAGTCTGAGTGCGCGGGGTGCGGGGAGAGGGCGTCAGTGGCATCCGACCGCCGGCGGTGCGGGTGTTGAAGACGGCAGAGCGCTTCTTGACCGGAGTCACGCAGACTGCAGTGCTTGCCATGACTGCTAGCTAGTCTCCTACTGGACTAGGGTTAGTTGGATTCTTAGCACACAGGACATGGTGGCATACAGTATGTGGTTTGGTTTCGCTATATAGTGTAAGGATTAGTATTAGACAATGCTGTAATCGATGCTGTGAAGTATTGATTCGAAAGTAATTGAGTGATTCGCGCTCTGGAGAAGAAGATGCAGGGCAGTGCGGATGGTAGAGTGCGTGGTAGTGGATATGCAGAGTGGCAGGTATGGGGGCGTTTAAGTATCCTTTGTTTACGCTTGCGTTGACCAGGTAACGAGGACGGGACCCTGCGCGAGGCTGGCCGGACGACCACGACGCATGACATCACATGACGGTGCTCGACCCTCGCCGGCATCGTAGTCTATCCGGTTTGTGAAGCCGCATGCATAGTCGTCGTGTCGATGCCGCCTGCATGGCCTTGCTTTTACCGCTGCATCCATGATGGCTATGGGTTTATAGCGTCTGCTCTCGTGCCAGACTGCGACGCACTTCAGCAGTCTCTCGGTCCATCGCCATCTCATAGCCACTCACTAATCACATATTCCAGCATCTGGCGTGGTGCATTAATCTGCTGCAGCTGTCCAGTGGCCAAGTCTCGGAGTGGCTCGCGCTGTCCGTGTCGGGCACAGGGCTGAGTCGTCCTGGGTCGGCGCTTCCGCTTTCCAGCCTCGGGCGGTGAGGGGCGGCAATATGCACGGCCAGCCAACTCAACTTCCTCCGTCAAACATTCTCCCAGCCTAGACAAAGGTCACTTCTGCCCACCGGGGCTGCTACCACGAACCAGACCACGCTATTCACCGTTCACTATCCATGGCACAAACATCCGCTCGATCCGCTTTCCCGTCCAACATCCTCAACCCCGCCGTCACCTCTACACCCTCGCCCAGCCACTCCCACTCCAACACGCCGGGATCCGCCAGCTCTGCCAACAACACGTTCCTCATGTCTGCGAGCCCCGTCCGGAGCCGCAGATCAGCCGTCGAAGGCTACAAACCGAAAATGATTTCGACAATCGGCGCCAAGCCCGCCTGCCTGGTCAATGCCTCTGTCACTTATGTTGGCGATGATCAGATATACGCCTTTGGAGGCTTCGACCAGTATACCGATGAGGTCTACAACCACGTCCTTCGCCTCAATCTCGTCACTCGACAATGGAATCTGGTCGACAACTACGGAGACATTCCGGGCGTACGAATGGGTACGTGCTCACCGCTCTATTACCAATGGTACTTCCGTCGCAACTAACATAACGCTTTAGGACATACCGCATGTCTCTGGCAGGGCAGCAAACTGCTCGTCTTCGGTGGTGAGAATGAGCACCGTCAACACCTCGCCGACGTCATCGTATTCGACCTGAAGACCGCCCACTGGACGCAGCCCGAACTCCATGGCCCAATACCTCGCGGTCGCGCTCGGCATTCGGCCGTCATATACGACGATAAACTCTATATCAGCGGTGGTCAGACTGGGCACGACAGTGTGCTAGACGACATCTGCTATCTCGACCTCAAGACGTGGACCTGGTCTCGGACATGGAGGTTCGTTCCTCGTTACGATCACGCCAGCTGGATCTGGAACGGTCGCATCTGGATCTTTGGTGGCATTAACGATGAGATGGAGAAGAGCAATGAGATCTGGTGGCTCGATCTCCGTGGAAGCCCAGAGTTCGATCACGCCATGAAGTATGGAACAGGCGACCGGCAACTCATCTCGTCCCGACATCGCTACCCTGTACCAGCGTCTGGTCAACTTGCGACCGGAAGCAGTGGTTATACTGCAAACTCGAGCGTCCAGTCATATCATGGCATGGGTTCAAGTCGCTCACCCTACGTTGCGCCTGGCTCCATCTCATCTCTCAAATTTCACTCCAGTCCGAACCTACCATCTCAAGCGGCGGGCACGCATTTCCACATCTTTTCATCCGGTTGCATGCTCGATTTCGTCACCCCGGCAGAGTTGAGCTGCGAGACAAGTTTGTCCAGTCTGGAGCTAGATACACTGCGATGGCAGAAGCTTGCCGACGGGAAGGACCTTTACAGCCCCAACTACCGCTGGCACTACTGCACAACAAACCCCGAAGGAACACATGCTTGGCTTCTAGGCAGCCCGATCGAGTCGGCTAATGACGGGAACCACAACGGCGAGTATCTAAGTGATGTCCTCGCCATCGATCTTCGGAAGTATGGCATCCTGGGCAACGAGCTGGCCTCCGACACGCGCTCAAAGATGATGCCTTCGTCCGACGCGAATGTGTCTTCGCACCTTACCGGTATTGGTGCGGATCTTTCCCTAACTTTTGATCAACCACCCGAGAGCGGCAGCGGCGCAGACTTCATCATCACGGCCGATCCCGATGATGATGATTACGTGGATGTTGCCGTGCCAGA